CCAGGCATCAACATCAACGCTGTAGCCGAGGTATTCGAGCCCTTCATCCACTTGCAACCTAACGAGCCACCAGCGCGATCGCGTCACCGCCATCGAACTGGCCCTTTCAAACAGCCACTGGGCCATCGTGCACATGCTCTGGCCAGTCGTGAACGACGACAGCCGCTACAAAGTACCGCGACGTCGCAACTCGTCACGATTCACAGTCCTCTAGTGCTTTGACAATGCCCTTGGGATGCGGCGTTACGAGCACGCCGCGGCGCTGCTCGGCCTGCCATCGTCCTGGCAATGCGACTTGACTTTTCGGGTGCGGCACCGCTCATGGCGTTCCCGAGGCGCCATCAAACCGTTTTGTAGGGTCGGTTGGTGGTGGAATACTTGGCCCCGTATTTATCCGTCGAGTGCTTGGTGGCCCTGCTGATTCGGGACCTACCCGTGGGCGTGCATCCCACGGCGCCATCGCAGCTTGTGGACGTTCCTGACCATTCGTTTTCGTGGATGGAATTTCTTGCCCCGGACATGACGCTTCCAGACGACGTGGCCAAGCCCACCGTGGTCCGGGCGATCCTCGACCACCCAACGTTCAAGCAAGTCCCTCGATCGGACTTGGTTCGGCGGCTCATGACGGCACGAGATCGCCACGACCGACCCGCGATCAACGCTGCCGACACCGACATCCGAGACTACATGACGGGCGAATTGTACTTCCTCGGTCGGTACGAGCTCTTGGATGGGCCCCCCGTCCACGTCAGTGCGACGGCCGTGGTCGTGCTCGCATACGATCACGGCATTTGCAGCCAAGTGTTCGACGAGTTTGCAGACGACGAAGGGCTGTTGGACTTGAATGGGTTTGTCGAGTGCAACATGACGTTGGGGCGGCTCCAAACGGGGCCGCGGTCGACACACCAACCTGTACGTGTGAATGGTCGTTCGCTTGCACGGCTTGTTGGTGTTTGGATCGTTCTTCGCGCGCGTGCGTGTCCTTGGCCCTGGCACATGCTCCGTCGACTGTGTGCTCCATCGCTCTGAAATTGCGTCACGTTTCAACGAGTGTACTCGCGCTCCCCCCCACTTTTATGCATGGCCGCGCTGTGCGGTGGAATGCTGCAACTGACGCCATGGACTTGTAGGGAACGCAAGCTTGCGAGCGATGGGAATCTGAATTTGAAATCTGGGATGTCGACAGCGACGACGTCTTGACCAAGGACGAGTACCAGCGGTACTGCGACCAGACGTTCGGCAACAAGCTCCGAGTGGCGCTCAAGTTTATGAAACACGAAAGCGATTGGGCTCGTGAAGTCTGGACTCGCCGCGGCCTCGATTCCAAATACGTGCTCGGCCTGTTACCGTCGCATGTCCCTGCCGACTGCGCCGACCACATTGCGCAGCTCCAACTGTCGTCCATGTCGAACGTCACGATGGCGTTGTTTCGACACATGATTGTGCTGCCTGCTGCCGATCGGAGCCTGGAAGACGTGTTCTTGAAGGAACGGCCATCGATCGACGTGGTCATTGCGGTCGTCAAGGAGGTCGCGACCGCGCTGCACCATTTGCATGCCGACCATGGCCTGGTCCACGGAGATTTCAAAAAGCTCAACGTGGTTCGCGTGGACAACCGCTTCAAGCTCATAGATCTCGATGCCGCGACCCACGTCAACGACCCGATCGGCGCCAAATTCAGCTCGGGCATTGCTCCCCCCGGTACGAACTCAGTCCGGTCGCGACTGACATGTGCGTGTTGGATGGCGTAGAAATGTTTTATCGCCTGCCGGATGCAGCGGCCCACGCCTCGTTTGAACAGCATTTCAACGACAACGCAGGGCTGTGGGCCAAAGTCAAGCCCAAGGGCCACTTTGTCGTTCGATCGTATCGCCAGGACGCGGACGCGTCCAAGTTGCCGTACGAGCTGGTGGCGGCGACGCCGGCCATCGACATGTGGGCACTCGGGTGCATGTTGTTCCAAATGGTGTCGGGAGAAGAGCTCGTGCCGACGGATGTGAATCAGGACGTGACCGCCGACTCGATCCACATCGCGGCAACGTGGTCAGATGCCAAGCTGTGTCGACGCATCGAGTCGCAAGTGGCCAACCAACACGCGCAGGACTTGCTCAAGCACTTGCTCGTGGTCGACCCGGCGTCGCGCGTGTCGGCGGCGGCTGTCCTGGACCATCCATTCCTGACGGGCGAGCCTGGCCACGCCTCCACGGCGGTCGTCCACGCGTTTCAAGACATCCAAGCGTCGCATCGCGACGTCGAGGCGCGGTTGAATCTGTTGCTGGAATCGGCGCAAACGACCGACCACCTCATCCAGACGGCGCGCACGCAGCTGACGACGTTGAAGCAATCGGTGGTCCGTGGCGTGTTTGATGCGTCCGAAGCGACCGTCCCAACGTCGTTCGTTGTGTTTCCCATGCGACTCACGTCCGCTGCGTCATCGTCGCACATCGAGGCCGCCATCGCGCAGCACTTACGGGCGCTTCTCGCAAGCGTCAAATCGATCGCTCAAGCTACGCTTCGGGGCGATGCACTTGCACAAGTCATGACGTCACTGACCAACGGCCAGCCCCTGTATTTGTACTTGGTGGACGAGGTTCAAGGGTCCATCGTTCTGCACGACCCGAACCACATCTACCCCGTTGAGATCCATCCCCAGGACACGTCGTTCTTGGCGGCGGTGGTGCCATTGCTGCTAGACGGCCTCCAGGCCGTCGCGCGGGCCCAGCGAGCGACCGGCCAAAGCAATGCCGCGTGGTTCGATGCATACGACGACATCGATGCGTTGGGCCAAATTGACGACATGATGGCCACGTTATGGCAAGGCTTGTGTCTGCGTGGTGCAGCTTTGCGACGGCTCAAACTATGGCTGTTCGAGAAGGACCCGACTGCATCTTTTGCTGGCCTCGAGCGCGTGCTTGTCGCCGACGGACTCGTGCGTTGGACATCGCACGCCCAAGCGCAGCAGCTCCGCGGCTCCGCGCCATTCCATGCGCATGACGGCAAAGGTTCTGTGGGAGGCATGGCGCTGTTGGACATGATGCTCGACGTAACAACACCGGACGTGTAGCCATCTACTTGAATAATGCATCCTTCCAACCCACGAGTGCCTTGTCCTGTAACAAACCCTCGCGTCGTGCTGTGCGCTGGGCCGCCAACACCAGAGGCTGCGCACGCTTGTGGATGGCAGGGGTGCGCCGCACGTGGTGTCCATGTTCGGTCGAGTCCAAAGCAATTTATCTCGACGACGCACGACGTCGATGCCGTGTAGTCCGCCAGTCTCTTGGCCGGCGGTGGCATGCACGCCCTCGCTCAAAGGAGTCGTCGCGTTGCTCGGGGCACGAGGATCGCCGGCATCGAGTGCGTCCTTTGCTCTCGCAACCACCCGTTTACTACACCCGAGACAGGCATCCATGTCCACTGCAGCGTGTTGTTTTACGCCCTTACACCCTGAAATACGGATGGTTCAAGATGCGTTCGAGCGACCACCGCTCGGACGGATCGACGACAAGGACGTGCGAGAGCAAGCTGCGCTGGTCTTCGTTTGCGATGTGCTGCTCAATGTGACGGTGCAAGTCGCCCTCTGTCCATGCCATGGCGGTCTCGATTTGCCCTGCCACAACGTCCTGGTTGACGTCGGTCGGGACGAGCTCTTCTCCAGACCAGAGCTGGAACATGATGACGCCGAGCGACCAGATGTCGATTTGAGGCGATGCCTCGACGAAATCGTACGGCGGAGAGCGATCCGTGTCGGCGCGCGAGCACCGCATCACAATGTTCGATCGCGGCTTGAGCTTGTTGTGGAGCCGCGAGTCGTGCTCCCAGTACAGATTGTACAGATCGCGCTCGGCGTCGTTCTCGAGCTTGTAAAACATTTCTACACACGCACACGATGACGTCCGTCGGTGGTTGCGATTCACGGTACCTGGCGGCATGACCCCGGACGAGACCTTGGACCCGACGCGATGCCCGACCGTCGTGGCCGCGTCAAAATCAATGAGTTTCACTTGGTAGAGCACGCGCAGCACGTTGAGCATCTTGAGGTCGCAGTGCACGATGTTCCAAATGTGGAGCTGCTGGAGCGCTCGGATGATTTCTTCGAGAAGAAATCGGACGTGGTTGGGGCTCGGGCGCTCCTTCAGATGGATGTCGGCAAGGCTGCGGTCGCCTGCTGGCAGCACCAGCACGTGCTTGAACGCTCCCAACCTCATGTTGTCATTGACGGTCAGGCTGCCGACCGCCGCTTCAAACTCGGTCTGCGCTGGCGACGGCAGCGCGTTCAAAAAGTACTTGGACGGCTCCTGACGCGTGATCGTGCGGCGCATCTCGAGCTCCTTCGTGTAATCCTCTTCGCGCCGCATCAACTTGAGCGCGACCTTGAGCTTGCGGCCGTACTGCATGTCGCAAAACCGCTTGAACTCGGCCTCGGTGACGAGCCCTGGAATCTCCTTGGAGAACGCCGCGAACGACGCGTCCCATTTGTCGACCGCGCTCGCATCATGCAATGCCTACAACGGCAGGATCGACCGCGACTTAGCGCGACTCAACGTGTTGTCATCGTGGCGAGCACGTGGACATTGCGTTACCTCGTGCTGCTTGCGCTGGATCGGGGATCGGTGGTGGCGGCGCTCGGCGCTTGGACATACTTGACTTAACTCGACGTTGCACTTGCGGAACGCGGCGAGGTCGACGCACATCTTGTCATCGACATGCGCGTGAAACACTTCGGAGCAAATGCCGTGGTCGTTGGCGAGCACGACGACGGCCGTGTCACTAACGTGGGCAGCCGGGCCGGGCAAGATTTCGTACCGCTCCATGAAGAAAAATTGCTTCTCCAAGAACTCCTTGACGGTGATTTCCGTCGTGTCGAGGGCAGTCCGATCGTGCTCGTCCTTGGCATACACCAGCGCTTCCAGGACGCGGTCGCGGCCAAGGTTTTCCAAGTCGTCGAGCAGCGCCTTGATCACGGCTTCCTTGCGAATGTGCTCCATCAGGCCCAGTCCCGGCTGGACAAACACGTTCCACGACAGGTTGTACACATGCGAGTCAAAGTCCATGTCCGGGTTCGCGCCGTCGCCGACGATCGCAAAGGGAAGGTCGCGCTTGAGCATGCGGACAAGGCCAGGAATCGTCATGTGCTTGGCCACCGACTCGAGAAGCAGCGAGTCCTATGCACATATACCAGCATGACGCTTCGATGTTTTCGCAGAGACGTGTACGTTGTGCAGCACGTCAAAGTCGTGGCCGAGCTCGATGATGGCGGCAACGACTTCGAATTGACGCGACTTCAGCGCTTCCGACATGCACTGGGACGACGACGATCAGGTCAAACGGGTCGACATGAGATCGCCCTACTTTTTCCTTGGACGTGTCGTCGAGGTGCTCCCAGAGCGCTGGCACGATGGCGGCGCGGCCGTAGGATGCGACTTCCGTTGCCGCCGACACGCCTTTCTACGCACGACGTTCGTGACCCGGCCACAGTCGGACAAGGACGTACGTCGGTGGTGGCGTCGCAATTGATCGTGCCGCGCGGCAGGGCGAGGAGGAGGTGGGCAATGTCACAGTATCCCTTTTGGATTGCTCGGATCAACGGCGTCGTGGATTTCTGCGTCGGTGCACAGAGTGAATCGCCGACGGCCGAGTGGGTTTAATTACCTTGTGGATGCGGTTGGGAAGGTTCACGTCGATGGAGGCCACTGCCAGGAGCAACGAAATCACTGGCTTGTAGTTTTGCAGCACGGCAAGGTGCAGCGGCGTCGTTTGAATCTGCAGGGTTCGTGTGAGGCGGCGGCGCTCGCGACAAGCAACGACGTGCTCACCTTGGCGACTTCTCTCATCGCGTTCACGTTCACAGCGCCGTCCGCAAGAATGTCCCGAACTGCATCCTCATCCTTGTTCGCCACCGCGTCAAACAGCTTGTCCTCGGCCGTCGCCGCCTTGGCCGGTGGACGCGCCATCGGGATCGTTCAAAAGTGAAAGTTTTCATCCATTTTTCATGAACTTCCTACTGTAGTGCGTACGGTACATGAAAAAATCGAGCGGTTCGGTGGGCTCCATGACCGGGGGCTCGTCGATCGGGCGGCGCAGCGGTCGTCTGCGCGCGGGGAGGGGGTGCCGTCCCGTCGGGCCATCGGTGTCTATCGGCGGTGATGTGTGTGGCCCTGCGGGACGTTTCTATATGGCCTTGTTCAAGGGGGTGGATCTCGAGTGAGAGGTGCAGTTCGTTGGCGGTTGCTTGCATGTGCCATGCATGGAGTGACGAGGGTCCGATGGGGGGAGAACGGGGGAGGGCCGCCCCCGTCAAACGAGCACCTCGCTCCACTGAACGAGGCTGCCGTGTCGGGATGTGTCCAAGGCAGATTGAAGCGACGGGCTCGATCGACACTCTCGGCGCACGCGCAGCCCTACGGGCGAAGCCCCCCCTCGGACGGCCTGGTTGAATACGCGGGTTGCTTGTGGTATTGTTTTGGTTGGCCCGGGGGCATAGGCTGTGTCGTTGCAAAAGATCTCCAAATCTATCGAACGCAGGCCAGCCCGTCGGTGCTACTCTCTGCGGGAGCCCACGGGATCCGTCCATCTACACGGCTCCCGTCGTGCACGGGCAGAAGGACGGTCCAGCGCGACCGAAGGTCCGTGGCGCACTACTCTCTACAACCAGTAGCTTGCGCCTGGCTTTTCTGTCCAGATGACGAAATTGATTCCATGACAGACCGACCCTGCCTGGAACGGGGTCGTGTCGGCCGACGTGCTGGCGGCGTCCACTCGGCAGCCTCTTCGCGCATCATCGTGGGCGCCGAGCCTCTTGGCATCGTCGACCGCAAGCCCACCGACTGCCACCCGACTCATGGCGCCGCCACGGCTCTGCCCCTACGGTACTGGAGCATATCTCTTGGCCTTTCCCGTATCTGGTCCTTTCTCGACCGACGAGAAGGATCTGTCTCGAGGGGGATTCGAAATATCGTTGTCGCGGGGGTTCTCGCCCGTGTCGCGGTTGTTGCGCCCCCACACGCAACCACACGCTGTGGGGGGGGGCGTCCCCATGGCACACTCTCGCGCCCCCACGCTCCGTTCCCAGTGATGGTCGCGCCACCCATGGAATTGTTGGACGTGCCGGCCGCGCTTGCCCCCGTACTGTACCGATTATTTCACGGCGTGCTCCAACCCTCGTGAAATCTTACGGCGGCTGTACCGTTGTCGCGACGCGTTCCTCCACAACATCGCTCGCGTTGCCACTTCTCTCTCCAACGGAACGATCGCCGCGTCGAGAGCGATGTGCAGGCAAAACAACTGCGTCCCCACCCTCTTGCGTCCTTCCCTCCATCGTCAAGGTCGATTGGAGTTGCGAGTTTGCCGTGAATATATTTTTTTGACGTATACTTGGCTATTGTATAAGGTCGATATATATATGCACCGCATACAAAAGTCAAGTATACTGGATAAAAAGAGGGTGTCATGGGATTTGACATGTTATTACGGCAAGGTGCAATGTTGGTCACGGCGTCGTGAGTGTTGTTGCGGCGGGACATGCCACAACGACCACAATTCCAATCGCTCGGCCGCCCCTCGATCGCGCCATGGCCGCTACCGTCCACAGCGACCTCTTCACCGCCATCTCCAAGGGCCAGATCCACGCCGCGTCCAAGCTGCTCGACCTCGGCACCAACGTGAATGCCACCAAGATGATCAATAAGGTTCGTCCATCGATCCATCGTTCGCGAGCCCAGATCGTGAATGCGCCGTGTTTTGTAGGTGCTGTACACGCCGCTGATGCTCGCTGCGGAAAAAGGCCACGACGACATCGTGAGACTCCTCTTGGAGCGCAACGACATCGACGTGAATCCGGTCCAACTGCCCCAGGCCAAGGTAGTACGCGCTGTCGTCGACGATTCGGACGCACTGACGGTCGTTTGGCATAGAAAGGACTCACACCGCTGTACCTGGCGGCCATGGCCGGCCATCTTCCCGTCGTGAAGGAGCTCTTGAAGCTCGGATCCAAGATCGACACAAACATAACGGTCGAGGTATACATTCCACGCGCTAGTTCAGGCTCACACCGTCGACGATGGTAGCGGAATGTGACGCCCCTTCAGGCCGCCATGATGCGAGGACACACAGACGTTGTCGACGCGCTGTGGCCATACGCTGACGACAAAATCAAACAGAGAGTACGTTCTCGAATCGCAGTGTTGTCGAGCTCACGCGTATGCTTAGTGCCTCCACGCTGCGTTGGAGAGCCAAAAGTTTGAGACTGTTGCGGCTTTGATTCAAGACCGCGGGCTTGACGTGAACATAATGTATCAGGTTCGATGTCGTCGTCCTCGCGGTGTCGCTCACAGACCATGCAGGACGCGCTTCTCCTCGAGTTTGTGGCTCCCTTCATGGACGTCAAGGGCCTCGTGTACCTGCTGGAGAAGGACCTGCCGATCAAGATCGACCGCAGCGACCGACCCGAACACGTTTCAGCGAACCCTGACCACAACTTTTCCTGGGCGACGTTTGTCGATCCGTCGGCGGTGACGTTGAACGACTCGATCGCCAAGGAGACTGTCGTCGACGCCCTGGTCGATTCGATCTTGGCCGATGCCACGGCCATTTCGAGAGCCCACGTCATGCAAGCGCTGTTGGCGAGCACCGACCAACACAATCGTCCGGTCGTCGCGCTCGCGGACGCATCGCTCGTCACGTTTATGAAGAGCCAAACGTACTTGGCTGGTCGATACGAGATCGCGGACGGCCCTCCCATCCATATAGGCGCTGCGTCGGTGATTGTACAGGCCGTGGACCATGGCATGTACGCCCAAGTGTTTGACGAATACGCCGACGATGACGGCGTGCTCAACGTGGACGCGTTCGTCGACTGCAATCACGTCCTGTGCAAGCTCGCGCCAGGCTCGTTCGTGGCGGGTGCCGGGGACGACGTCGATGACGCCAAGGTACGAGCCGAACAGGGCGACGATTGCGTTGACTCATGCCGCGACTAGATGCGCGAGGAAAGCTGGATCCAAGCGTTTGATGCGCTCACCCCCGACAACGAGTGCATTGACGTGGACGATTTCCGACGATTCTGTGAAGCCACCTACGGCCCTCACTTGAAAGTCGCGATGAAGTTCATGCGCCACGTGGACGACTACACCCGCGAGCGCCAACTGCGCCACGGGTTGTGCAGCCACCGCATCGTTGGGCTCCTCCCGATTCAAGCCGACCTGAGTGTCCTCCAGTCATTGCGACTGACGGGCTACGACATCGACTTGGCCGAGTTTCCCCACGTCATCGTGATGCCGGCGGGAGGACGTAGCTTGGCCGACATGGCGCACCATGAACGACCGCAAGGCCGCGACGCCCGTTCGGTGCTCCACCAAGTCGCTGCTTCGCTCGACCACCTCCACAACCATGGCTTTGTTCATGGCAATCTGTCCACAAAGCACGTGTTGTCCATGCAAGGGCAGCTCAAGCTGATCGATTTCACTGCCACTGCTCAAATCGGCGTCGATCACGTCGGTGCCAAGTGGTCGTCGGCATGCTTGCCTCCTGGTATGCCATCTCGTCCATCGATTATTCCGTCGCTCGTTCGGGGAGCACGGATGGTCCGCACGAACGTGCGCCTAACGACGTTGTTTTGTGTAGAAATGTTTTACCAGCTCCGCAACGACGCGGAACTGGCGCAGTATGCCGCGTACTGGCGCGACCAGTCCAGCTCGATCCCCGACAGGAACGCCCTCCGTCCGCGATCCAATTTCGTCGTACGTGCTTTCTGCCGATCCGCGTCAGGTCATGCGCTTCCGTATACAACGGTGCGCGCGTCGACTGCGCTCGACGCATGGGCGTTTGGATGCATGATGTTTGACCTCATCACGGGCACCTCCCTCGTCCCGTCGAGTCGCAGCCACGACATCTTGCCGACGTATGTGGCGACCGCAGCGACATGGACAGACGAAAAGCTTCGCCAACGTGTGGTCGAAGCAGTGCACGACCCTGCGGCGCAGCAGTTGTTGCTGCAGTTGCTCGTCGTCGAGCCATCTCGTCGCCTGACGATGGACCAAGTGGTGGACCACGTGTATTTTTCCGGCGGCCCCCATGCCGACGTCACCGACGAAGACGACTTTGACGACTGGGTGCTGGACAGCGTACCTGGAGACATTGCACGGACTCGAGCCAAGCGGAACTTGCACGCATGAACCGCGAGGGGCTCGTCGATGAATATGGCCCAGAAGCACGGTTGAAGCTATTGGACCGTGATTGCGAGTACTTGGGTGCGCGTTTTGGATAAAATCGAGATGAATAATGGATGGCTGGGATCAAGTCTCTTCTTGGTTGTCTCGATCGAACGGGTGGCCAGGAGAATATGCGCCGTCGGATGCTCGATAGACACACACCAACAAACGAGAGCCACCCACTTTGCTGCTGGCAGCCACACGAATGGATGTGTGGTTGCTAGAGACCGTCGATCCATGGCAAGTCCACATCGTCCCACGTGAAACCCTCGGTGACCACTCGAAATGGGCGACGAATACCTCGAGGGATGTCCCGAGCGTCCTGGACCTCCGTCCATCGTTGTACATTCGTTATTCCTTCACGTTGCAAGTCGCACTGGTACGAGGAAAAACACTTGCGTTTCTACATGACCACGCACTGGTCGGGACTGCAGCCACTGCCAGCGGCAGCTGGGACTTGTGGAGCCCGCGACACGCTTGTAGCTCGGTTGCTTTGGCAGCTGTCGACGTCCGACCAGTCTTCCGAGCGCGGACGGAGGAGGTTTTGAAGCAGCACGCCATACAACGAGCACGCGTCGGTGCTGTCCGCTGTCTCGTCTTGGTCATGGGCAGGAATCGTCCACACCACGTCGCCGTCCTCTGTCGCGGTTCGTGACAAGCCGGCCATCGAGAGGTCGGGGAGTCGTCGATTTATCCAGCGCTCGACTTGCTTGGCCATGGCTTGGCGGACGTGCCACGGCGTTATGTGCGACCCCTTCAGTCGCAGCGCTCGATGGATCGCGCCGAACGTGACGGACTTGGCAGTGCCTCTCTTGCAACTCAGAGCATGAAGGAACGGCTCGTGGGAGAGGGAGGTTGTCGTGGGTGGCAGTGTGGCGACGTCGGGCAAGTAGTGGCGCACAAAGCAGGCCAGTCCTTGTTCGGCAAATGGCAAGCTCAGCGCCAAAAACTCCACGTCTGTCGGGACGACTGGAAGGGGATACCCTCCATTCGCGGTGGTGCCGTGCATCGGGTGGAGTTGGCTTGGTGCACAGCCGACCACTGTCGTCAATGTGTGGCCAGGAACGACTTGACCTGTCACGCCGTCCATCAGGTACAAATACAACGGGTCGTTGCGGGTTAATGCAGCAAGGTGGGCTTGGATCGAGTCGCTTTGGTCCAAAGCGAGTCGAACCGCACGACAAGTTGATCGAAAGCTCACGACGAACGATGCCAATCTCGCCAGGACGACGTCGTCAAGTGGTGTGTCCCAGTGGCTGTCGGGCAGCAACACAAAGGTCGGTAGACCGACGCATCCCGTCCCCATGGAAGAAGGCAGCTCATGCGCACAAGACTCGTTGGAGGCGGCAACGGCATGCACCGTCGTCGGTGGAACCGACATGGTGTGCACTTCACCGCAGATCGAGACACTGGTGGATGGCGACAGAATGTTGAGGCGGTTGCCGAGGGCTTGAGTGGACGCGTAACACGTCGTGTTCGGGGTGACCGGCGCTGGCGACAAGCGCGGGTCGAAGCTTGGAGCGTGCCGTGCGGCAGCCGCATCCACGGCTTCGTCGAGTCGGCCGGCAAACGTGTCGCCCTTGCCTGTGAAATACGGGTGCTGGAGCGCCGCTTCCATCGTCACTCGGTGAGCGGGGTCGACCCGCAAGAGTTGCGTGAGCAAGTCCATGGCCAATGCGTCGTTGGGCCCAAGCGCCGCGCTGAGCTTGGCCCGCAGCGACACGTCCGTCCATGTCGCGGCGATATGAATGTAGTCGTCGATGACGTCGTCGTGCAAGTCAGTAGGAACCAACTCGGCACCGGTGACGACTTGGTACATCATGCACCCAAATGCCCATACGTCCATGGCGGGAGCCACGGCGCGCAACGAGTACGGCGCCGCAACGGGACTGGTCTCGCCAACAACGTCTTCGCCGGCGAGGGCGGTGCGCACAACGTACCCTCGTCGAGGCTTGAGTTTATGCCATGCCGCGTCCACATCTCGATACGAATCGTCGCTCGCGCGGGACTTGCCATGGCAGCAATACGCTTCATGGCGACGCATCAACTCGATCGTGTTCAGCTTGACCAGCATTTCTACGACGCAACCGTGAACGCAACGCAGCTCGAGCGCACGACCCAACCTGGTGCGAGTGTCCCGGAGCTGAACGTGGTCCCGGAAAACAACTCGCCATTCCACGTCGCGGCATTGAAGTCAATCAGCTTGAGCTCGTCGCGCACACGAAGGACATTGCGCGGCTTGAGGTCGCCATGGACCATGCCGTGCTCGTGCAAGTGCGCGACGCTTTTCGCCACCGCCTCGAGCATCCCTCGGATAGTGTTGCGACTCGGACGCTCGTTGACCAGTATGTCAAGTAAGGTCCGATCGCCGGCCGGCATGGCGACGACGTATGGGTATTCCGCCAAGGACTGTGGAAACGACATGTGGGTGGGGTCGGCGGCGGCGCCGTGGTCGGGACTGGGCTCGTGTTGCTCCAACGCGACGGACGGCAGGAGGGGCAGGACGAATTGGCTGTCCAAATGCCGGCGGCATCCAAGCTCCCTTTGAAGCGCATCCGCCTGCTTCATCAGCTTGAGAGCGACACGGAGGTGGGCGCCGTACGTCTGGTCGCAGTACTGGCGAAAGACATGGCTCGACAGCCCGCCGATGCCGTCCGAGTCCCACACATCAAATGCTTTGGTCCAGTCCAGGATGTCCGACTAGCGCACGTGTGAATCGACGAAGCAGTTGGTGCGCCGCTCTACCTGATGAACGCCCGACGATGTGGCGTGTCCAAGTGGCGGCGCCAGTTGGCCCAGAATCGAGTTACACGCGACAAAACCGTCCACGTTGAGCAGCCCGTCGTCGGTGCACGCATATTCGTTAAAGACTTGCGAGACCAAGCCATGGTCGATCGCAACCACGACCACCGACGTCGCGCTTACGTGGACGGGCGGCGCCTCGATGATCTCGTACCGCTTGGCAAAGTACAACTGGCCCATCAACGATGCGACGAGCGATGGATCTGCCACCGCCAGCACGGGGCGGTGGTGCTGGTCGTGGGACGACAGGAGTGCTCGCACGACTTGCTCCCGCGATATCGATGGCTTCGTCGTGCCGCCATGGTTGTTGCAAAGTGGTGGACACAACGCGTCGAAGATCGCGCTTGCCACGGCTTCTTTGGCGATCTCGTCGCTCACTCGGACGAGGGACGGATCGAGGAACGCTGCCCACGAGAAAGCATAGTCGGGATTTGGGACGAGGTGGTGCCCAAATATGCCGCTGTCGGCGACCTTGACGGGTAAGTCCTTGGATAGCATCAAGAGCAAGCCTTGGAACGTCAAGAACGGCGCGACAAACTCAAGGAGCAGATGACCCTAACGATTCACCAGAGTTGGTCGGCACGATGGCAGTACAGCATCGTACTTGAAACGATGGCTCGTATGCGACGCCGTTTTCCACCATGTGGGCGACGACTTCGAACTTGTGGCCGGCCAGCGCGGCGTCGAGGCTCTAATGGACAGATCCCATGAACGCGGCATCGGGACGGACGTACTCGGCGCTGGCTGAAAACATTGGCGGTCGGCCACAGCGCATCGACAACGTCGGCAAACCCATTCGCGGCGGCAAGTTGAACTGCCGTTGCATGTTTCTATCATCACGATGACTTGGCATGGAGAGCACGTCGACGTGGCATCTTTCTCGTGGTTCGTTACCTCCATCGTGGCGTTCACGTCCACATCGGGGTGTGCAAGCAGCTCGTGGACGACGGCAACGTGACCTTTCATCGACGCCAGAATGAGCGGCGTCGGGGACTTCAAGCAATCGAGGAATGTTAAGCATGCGAGACCGAGGCGGGGTGTACCTTGGCGTTGGCGGCGTGAGTTGGTCGATTCACTTGAACGTCCGGTCGGCCCAACAGCGCTCGAACAACTTGGACGTACCCGAGCTCCGCGGCTAGCATCAGTGGCGTGTACAAGACCTGGAAACGGAACGCTCGTGAACGCGACAGGGCCGACGTTGGGGTCATCCGCACCTTGTTTATTCGCATCGTGCTGTTGACATTCCCGTCGCCGTCAGCAAGCAGACGCGTAACAGTGTCAACGGCGTCGGCAGCAACTGCGTCAAAGAGCGGCTGGTGGTTGGCGTGTGCCGGCATCGTCGAGGACGTAGTGGGCCTGTTGGACAATGGCCGCAATCGTGGCGCGCGGGGTGATGGGCCGAGGATTCCATGCAAGGGATGGATAGGTAAACGGGCGGCGGAATGAAATGTTGAAGTTGGGGCGGTTGGGATGCGAATGTCGTGGTGGACGGAACGTGGCGCAACCTGCACGTGGCACACACACGTCAGATGCCGTGCGCCGCCCAACGCGCTACGAAAGGCCACACCCCAACGCACGCCGTGGCGTCGGTGGGACATGGGCTGCGAGGGGGCAGTGCGACAGCTCTGGCTCCAACCGACCACGCGTTTGACGTGGTGTTGGAGCGAAAAGGTACTAGCCGTTCCCAACGTGTGTTGAAGTGCAAACTCGATGCGTGCCATGCCCAACCGCGATGGTTACACCCGGGAAGTAGGCGCCACGACGCCGTCGACCAGATGCCCGCGACGACGTGGTCAAGATGTCAACTTGAAGCGAATGCAACGAGTCACTCTGGTCGACATGTTGAAGGGCGTCCCTTGCGACCACGGCGTGTGGCTGTATACACCACGATTCAAATGCTTGTTCACAGGATTCGTGCCAGGCAAACGTGGCATTGATCCGACCCGACGAGGAAAGCGCTGCCGGTGTTGGAGATGCCCAACAACTCGGCCGTTTGTCGACGGCGCGTTGGGCCACGTTGGCTCGCTGCGTTGTGTGCGGCGATGCCGGCCGCAACGACGACAACTCGATGCCATCCAGCGAGCCGTCGGAGACTCGCTACATGGAGGGGCTGGCATCGTGCATGGAACGTCGCCTCAACATGATCGACGGTCTGCTTGTTGGACGCCTGCGTGATCCCAACGCCGTTTGCATCTCTCTACTCGCTTGGCTTGCGTGGGGACGAGGGCAACCCGGCAGTGCATCCCCTGGAATTCCTTGCCGATGCCCTACGCATCATCCTGTAGCGACGGCATGTATAAAATGCCACCACGAAAGGCTGGCAGCCTCCGCGGCACGAACCACTCGGCTCTCGCTCTCCTTGCGGCTACAAATCAAGCCATCGAGTATATACACGTGTCGTACCAGTCAGCACATGACCACACAATAAAAGCAGGTGGCTATGGGGAATGGGCAGTGGCGCCAGAGGACGTTGCTGCCGCCTCACGAGAGAGCAGCATGACGACGTGCAGCCTATTCAAAAAGGCCAGCGTGGGGCAACGACTCGGAGCTGTTTGGCACTACATCAGAGGACGTTGCGACCATCTCTCGAACGGGCAAAGTCCGTTCAACGTCAAACGTGTGGCGCCTGCATCCATCATCCGCGGTGCAGTCGTGTATGTACTGTACAACACGTGAGGTTCCATGGCGCCACCGCAAAGAAGGTTGCCGCGTCAGCTCGCAACGCACTTGGGCCGCTTCACCCGCACAGACACAGTCGGCGTCCCCTTCTCCACACGATTTCCCGCCTCGATCAAACACGCGGGCGCTGTGGACATGGATCCTACAGTATCGGTATCTAGTTTACCACGTACGTTCCGTCGCGATGGATGCAACGACACGCCGCCGTCTCCCGCAGAGCCGACTTGACGGCAGTGCCTGGGGCTGTTGCGAGCACGGACATTGAACGCCTGCATTTCGCGCAGGCGGGAACCCCCCGTGACGGCGTTTGGGTGGTTGTGGCAGCGACGGCACCATCGAGTACCAGCGCATGGCGATGCCCACCCCATGGCATCCGTTCAGCTGCATGTGATATGGCAACTGCAGAGTCATGCGACCAGCGCAAGAGGTGAACGGTCAAGTGACCGGGCATCCCCATCCAACGGTGCATCCACCGCCAGTTCGACCATCTTGTTGCACGCGTCGAGCGTCCAAATCCGTGTCACTTGAACGGTGGCTCCACACCCACAACAAGTGACTTGGGTACATTCGACGCTGGTTCTGCTCGGACGGCGCCACCGCACTTGACTTTGCATCCTGCCACGATGTTCTCGTTGCCGTTAAACCCGGGCCACTTTCAGAGCCCGCCGCTGTCGACCCACGAAATCGACCTGTACAAGGCCATGGCCAAGCAAAGCGTCGACAACGTGGTGGGTTGCATCGGCCATCCGCTTGATTGCGACTTTTGGCCCGTTCTTGTAACATTCTAGTCGACCGCGATGTAGATCAAGAAGTCGACGCTTGTCGGTGGACCTGTCAAGTGGTCGCTGAAATCACGAGAAGGCGATTTGAGACTGTACAAGGCCGACAACTTTCGATCGACGCATGAACGCGACATTCTCTGTGGCGTCATGGAGGTGATCGGGACCCTGGACGAAGTCATGCGGCTCTACCGATGTGAAACGACTGCAGACACCAAGGAATACGTCCGCCGCTTCGGCCGCGCATACGTTGACGCAGTACATCTGTACACGGTCATGCCACGCCAGCCAGACCGTCCCAACGACAGCATCCACATCAAGTGGGGACTCGTGAAAGGACCTGTCGATGGCCTCATCGCGCGTCGGGACGTCTGCATCCTCGAGGTGCCCCCAATCGTGTTCCGTTTTGTAAAACTGAATGCCTTGTGTAGTCCAACATGGAGCTCCGACTCCATGGACGACGGGCGTGGGTGCGCGCTTTCACGTCTGTTCAATTGCAGTGCGTGCCAGACATGCGCGACGCGCTCAATGCGATTCGCGCGCTCCAGTTCGACATGGGCCATGTTTTTGTCGAATCCGATCGCCCCGGCTACATCGTCATGACTAACCTGGCCGACATGAACCCTGGAGGTATCCTCACAGATTGGGCAGCTGCACAAGCGATCAAGACCTGGTGTCGCCAGCTCATGGACATTGACGGGTTCTTGCGGGAGGACCGGCTGAGCGCGACGCCGTTTCTGCGCCCGGACCAGCTTTGTCCGTCCGATTTGCGGTCGAGGTGCCATCTCTGCACCAAACAATTTGGCCTGTTGCGGAAAAAGACACAATGCGTCAAGTGCGGCGAGGTGCGCGATCCAAGTCATTACGTGAGCTAACCGCGCATTGCTGGTAGGTCTTGTGCCGCAGATGCATCAAAGAATGGCAAGTTCGATGGAATGGAATTCCCGTCATTGCAACTTGCTGTTACCCTTGTTCGCTGCGAAACCCAGCGTCGTTCAAAGTGGTCAAGGGTCCCCCTGCCCCGGAGCAAAGAGAACGATTGCTGTACGAGCTTGCGACCCCCACCTGGGGGGCAGATGTGTCCCTGGTCGGATCGTCGCCACGAAGCTCGACTGACAACCAGCCCATCGACGACGACGTGGTGGCGTCGTGGAACATTGGGAATGATGCTTCGCTCCATCACTATCTTTTGCCATCGACACTCCCGCTTACGATGAGAGCCCGCCAGAGCAAGAACCAAACCGGGCAATCAACCAACTCTCGAACGCCATGAGGTTTCGTTCGTTGAATAATGGTGTACGAATGGAAAATATGGACATCAC